CCCCCCCCCCCCCCCCCCCCCCCGACAAAAATCACCCTCCTGTGACCTTTTGTTGGACACTACAAAAGTTTCTAGAAAATGAACATTTTTGTCCACTTGAAGGGTCATGGATGTAACTTTTTTGAAGGGTAACACTTATACAATGTAAAATGCCATAGGCTTGTGCTAATGACATTAGCATTTTGTGTTTGTTTGGAAAACGTGTTTAGTATGACAGTTGTTTTGTTGGTGAATTTTGTGAGTTGTAATGGAGCCATATTTTGTGCCGTTACCTTTGTTAAATGTTGCTGTTGTCCCTGGTTTATATGAGAAGAGGGAAAGATCGCTAGCAGCTAGGCTAATTTATACAATGTGAAATGCCATAGGCTTGTGCTAATAACATTAGCATTTTGTGTTTGTTTGGAAAACATGTTTAGTATAAAAGTTGTTTTGTTCGTGAATCTTGTCAGATGTAATGTGTGCCGTTAACTTTGTTAAACGTTGCTGTTGTCCCTGGTTTTATGAGAAGAGGGAAAGATTGCTGGCCACTAGGCTAATTTATACATTATAAAATGCCATAGGTTTGTGCTAATAAGGTTAGCATGTTAAATTTGTTTGGAAAACATGTATAGCACGGTACAGTTGTTTTGTCAGTGAACTTCGTGACATCACTGGGCCATTATCAAAAATGACCTAGCTCAGCATCGGCCTAAACACAGCATGCTGGAAGAAATAAGTCAGACCCATCTGGCTGCCCGACTCAGCTGACACCCAGGAGAAGTGACACTCTGGAACCAGGCCAAATTATCCGGCCTGATTCTGGTTGCCAACATGGGCATCACTGGGCTGTTACCAAATTGATCGAGCTCAGCATTGACAAAACTCGGCAGGCTAGAGGAAGTAAGTTGGGCCGCATCCGGTTGCCTGACTCGGCTGGGACTTGGGATAAATGATGCCCTGGCTGCCGACAATGGCATCATTGAGCCATAATCTAGAACAACTTGGGCCAGCATCGGCTCAAACACAGCATTGCTGGAAGAAATAAGTCAGAGCCCTTCTGGTTACCTGACTCGGCTGACACTTTGGAAAAAATTACGCTCCAGAATCTGGCCAAATAAACTGGCCTGATTCTGGCTGCCAACACTGCCATCACTGGGTCATTATCAGAAATGACATGGCCCAACATTGGCCCAAATGCAGAGCGCCGGAAGACATAAGTTGGGCTGCATCCATTTGCTCAACTCGACTGAGACTCAGAATGAATGACGCTCCAGAATCTGGCCAAATAAACTGGCCAATTCCAGCTGCTGGCATTGTCACCACTGGGCCATAATTGAAAATGACCTGGCTCAGCATCAGCCTAAACACAACACGCTGAAAGAAATAAGTCAGGCCCGTCTGGTTGCCTGACTCGGCTGACATTCAGGGTAAATGACAGAATGCTCCAAAATCAGGCCAAGTAAACGGACCTGATTCTGGCTGCCAACACTGGCGTCACTATGTTGTTATCAAAAATGACCTAGCTCAGCACTGGCCCAAACTTGGCAGGCTGGAAGAAGTAAGTTGGGCCACGTCTGGTTGCCTGACTCTGCTGGGACTTTGGCTAAATGACACCTCAAAATCAGGCGAAATAAACTTGTCAGATTCTGGCTGCCAACATTGGGCTGTTTTCAAAATGACCTAGCTCAGCATTGGCCCAAACTCGCCAGGCTGGAAGAGGTAATTTGGGCCGCATCCGGTTGCCCGACTCAGCTGAGACTTGGGATGAATGACACTGTGGCTGCCGACACTGGCATCACTGGGCCATCATCAAAAATGACCTAGCTCAGCATTGGCCCAAACTAAGCATACTGGAAGAAATAAGTCAGGCCGATCCAGTTGCCTAACTCGGTTGACACTCAGGATGAATGACACCCCAAAATTGCCACCAAAATGCCAAAACTGGCCCAAGCATGTCCCAGTCATATGGTTTGTCAACTCAACTTATTACCATTGAATGCCAGTTCAATTCATTTTAAAATAAATAAACCTACCAAATATACAAATATGGCTATGAAATATATCCTGAAATAAATAATTGAGGCAATAAACCCAGTAGATGTCCATAAATCCTTCACACTACAAGTGTAAAAGGTATAAGTACTCCTGATGATATTTCATATTCTGTTGGGTATTTTAATCTACAGCAATGCATAACATTTGATTAAATCTTTTGTTTTGTTTATAAGATATCAGTGTAGACATTAACAAAAGCTGCCAAATAAATAAAGTGGTGCGGGATATATGGTATAAAATAGAAGTAAAGAGTAAGTGCCTCAAATCTGTACTTATGTACTTGTTTTGTGGATTAACATTCACCACTGCATCGAGGTCTAGTCAAGAAACCTTAGCGACCAAGAGATGGCACTGTAGTGTATTTGTATTAATCTCCATGATACAGCAGCGACACCTGGAGGCCATGATGGGCTACTACAGTACCACTACCAGCAGCAGGATTTATGAGCCTCTGGGTTCATTTCATTTTAATATTTCGTCTGCCTTTGTTCTTTCCTTTAAAAAACCCCTCTAAGAACAGGAATATCCTTTATGAATAATAAGGATCCATTCTTAGATCCGGGATACATCCGGGATATTATTTTGCATTTTGTTACAATTCCATTTTATAACTACTTGAAGGTTTTTTGCATTTGTGTACCAAGGGGGAAAAATACTTATTTTGCTAAATTGTCTATTTCAGAATAATGTAATGGATTATAATTAGTGATGCATATGGACTTTGAGATGTAGTGTGGAGTAGAAGCATAGAATAGCAGAAAATGGAGACGCTCAAGTTAAGTGCAAGTACCTCAAGTGCCACTTGAGTGAATGTGCTCAATTAATTTTCACCACAATAAGCACAAATACAACATACAATAGTATAACTTGTTATTAAAGGTTATTCAGATATGTACAGGCATTCTCATTTCCAGCTGTTCCATATTTAAACAGTCACTTGTTTGACATCTCGTTTCATGTAGATATCAACAATGTCTATAAAATACCTCCATGATTATGTCATCTGAAATATTTTCAGAAACATGGTTAAGCTCACTGTTTAACTGTAATTCAAAATCATTTGTTACCAGCCAGTCGCCATGTTGTTTTCTGTGTCAAAACGGATGAGCTCGCATTACGTCACCCACCAGCTGAAGCATTTATTTGTTTATTTATTGTCTTTCTACTGCACCGATGGCCCAGTTTTATGAAAAGACCATCATTCCAGCACTGAAAATACTTCTTTAAACTTGAATAATACCTAATAATTTATAAGTTAATTTATGTTTTGTATTAATAATATAAATCTGCCAAGTAACTATCAAATGAGTGTTTTATTGTAAAGTAATTTGTCTCTGAAATGAAACAGCAGCAGCATAACAAAAACCAACAGTCATACCATTCACTACAACAGAAATGGCGTGTGTGTGTTTGTTTTAGGTTCATTTGTTGCCATATTTCCCTTATACACTGGAATTATTTTACTCTGACAGATGAGTACGACAGACAGATGCTGTACTGTTGTGGTATAAAGTGAATCATTGAAGTAGGACTGATTCAGCTCTGGCACAGCTTGTTTGCATTTGTCATTTTTTTAATTAACTGTTTCTTTATAACAATCCACCTGAACCTGCTTTTGTTAACTGAAAGTCAGTTTCAGACTGAATCTTTAATGTGAATTATTGAAGATTATAGAAGCCATGCTGTACCTTAATGGCTCTCAGACAATCACACAAATGATGAAAAGATCTTGCAAAACTGATGATGAAAACACTGCATTACAAGTCGATACTCCCAATATTCAAACATGCTAGAATATGCCCCAACCAGTCCGCAGTATATTGATACAAAATATAACAAAAATTGTTGCTTTGATGTGAAAGGCAATCCTTCTGTCCATAATAATCATTAGCAAATGTAAATAAGCCAGACTAATCACCATTATTGTTACTACTTTTTCTAGTATTACTGTGTACTGCAGTTCTGCATGTGGTTTATAAAAGTGGTCTTGCTGTAACTCAGCAGAAGCTATTGTTGAGCTGCTGTTGGTAGGTACAATAAATGGCAAAATAAAAGTGTAGTAGTGTAGTGTAGAAGCAGAGCTGGTTGTACCTGTTGCTCCTTCAGCACTTGTTGAGGGTGATGGGGTGTCTGTCTGCAGGCTGTAGTGTAGAAGCAGAGCTGGTTGTGCCTGTTGCTCCTTCAGCACTTGTTGAGGGTGATGGGGTGTTTGTCTGCAGGCTGTAGTGTCGAAGCAGAGCTGGTTGTGCCTGTTGCTCCTTCATCTGAAATACATGATACATGCAAATTTGATGTTAATCCTTAAATACAGATACAGATACATGATAGCATAAGACAATACACTACCAAATTCTGTCTTATCTGTATACATGAAATGTGGCGAGATTTGTCACTGATGTTGTCAATGCATTGTTCATCTTTTTTTTTGAATGTTAAGTTAAATAAAATAAAGATTATTAAACAGACTTACCCATTCCAGGCTCAGTATCCCTGGTCAGTGTTTGACTAGTAACTGGAATGCTACATGTGGTGCTAGATGTCCCTTAACCTGCAGCTGACTACAAGTATTAAGCATAACCAAATCAGTGGTGTTGAAATAAATGATTGACATGATCAAGAATGTGGTTGAAATATCAGTTTTACAGAAGGTGGGAAGTATATGGTCATATTTTGAACATATTTATGTAATTTTGAACTATAACAGATAATTAGCTGTGTTAAAAATCATTCAAAGGACCTACCCATTCTAGGCTCTGTGTCCCTGGTAAGTGTTGGACTGATGCAGGTGTTCCTTCACCTGTTGCTGAATTCAAGCACAGAATTTCTCCAGTTACACCATTGCATTTGGTCATGTCCCCCCCCAATAAAGCAAAATCAGCATCTTGATATGCCACACCTGTGAGGTGGGATGGATTATCTCGGCAAAGGAGAAGTGCTCACTTACACAGATTTAGACAGATTTGTGAACAATATTTGTGAGAAATGGTCTTTTGTGTGTATAGAAAATGTTTTAGATCTTTGAGTTCAGCTCATGAAAAATGGGAGCAAAAACAAAAATGTTGCGTTTATATTTTTGTTCAGTGTATTTGCATTCATGGCACTAGACAAAATCTGGGAAATGCATACCCACACATACTAGGCTCTCATAGCAGATTCTGCATTAAAATGGAATTGAAGCATTTACTCTGAAAATATTGAATATTTTCCAAGCTGGAAGGGAAGGCCAGACAAATGCCACGAAACACTCGCGCCATTTTGTCCTTATAAAGCAGCTTGGCTTAGTATGCTAATGCTAGGTTTATTCTTTGACAGTCTGAACAGGACACAGTTTTGTATAGCAGACACATTGTGGATTACGCGATGTAAACCATTGGCCACAAGCAAGAATTCATCTGAAGCCTTCTATGTGAGACATGGTTAAAATTAACATAACAATGTTTTCAAATTGTGTCCATCTGTTTAGCTTCTGAAGGTCAACCTGAGTTTATGCTACATAGCTAGCTACCATTGCAAGCAAACTCCTTCCCTGAGAATATTTGAAACAACCAATTCTGTTTCTAAATTTAGTGGTACTCCTTAGAGAAGTGGCGAGACGTGAGAAAGTGCTTTCCAAATATTCGTCATCTTCATTAGTCGTGAAACATAGTTTTTGGCCAGGCAAGGCTCTAGCTAGCTAGCTAGCAATTCACCAAGCAGGCTTAACATTAGCTTACTAGTAATAGAATGCAATGGCTATCTGGCTAGCGGAGCAGTGACAGCAAGGTACCAACAATGGAACCTCAGTCATCACCCGGAAATCACAATTTTCCCTGTTAATACGTGTATATTGGAGGTGGACCTCAGTTGAAACTTGCCTGAAATTTTGGAGGATGGAAATGGCTCCGTTTTTTCGTTTGGCCTCTTTGTTCAAACCACAAGAGTGCGCACTCAAAAAAAGGGAGATTTTGGGTGTGATCCTATGGCTACGTAACCATAGGAGGCTATTTGCATAAGCCCGACCTCTCTACCACCCAACCCAACCCCACCCCACCCACCACCTGAATCAGCCTGCACCTGCCGCCATTACCGACAAAAAATGGCTGAACGACGCTCCCATGTTAATTGCTCTGTTGTTGGTTGCCAGAATGAAGACAAAAGTATTTTCAGCATCCCAGCATCGGCGGACCAAGCAACAAAGGAACAGTGGATAAATTTTATTTTCAACAACAATGTTCCCGTGCCATGTTCCATCATTTTTCGCCTGACAGTTTTTCGAATTTGGGACAGTACCAGGTGAATCTGGCCTTAACTCTGCGTTTGGAGAAAGGGGCAGTTCCTACGATTCGAGACTCACCAGCAGTGCAATCGGTAAGTCTCGCCGCTTTGTGTAACAGTTAACGGTATGTTTTACTGTGTACTTGACCCTGAAATGACGGTAGACAGCAGCTAACTGCTAATTGGGCTAACGCTAGATGCTAACGTTATTCACAAGGGACTAGTGTAACCTGTGGACCTCATGTGATTTAGAAATGACCCCCACGTCTTTCGTCACGCTGCCCAGTTTTGGTTTCTGAGGGACTTACAGCCAGCTGAGCTGCTACCGAAATAAGGCGAGTGACTGTGTGTTGACCAATAGTTTTGAGTGACCGTAAGAAACTAACGTTATCCGGGTGGATTTTGTGAAGAGCATTCACGTTTTACTGCCTCATCACTACAATTTCCTTACTGTTTACATGCGTTTGCGTTTGGATTTTATTACTGAAAAAATACCAGGACGCAAACTTTTCATTTCTCTGACGTTTTCACATCATAAACCATGAACATCAATATTAAAACTCTTACATGTAAAACATGAGACTCATGCAGGCTGTCTGCTGAGTGTGAAATCAAGCTCTGCAGCTTGATTTCACTGTAACGTTAACTGTTTTAACTGGGCAGAGATGAGCCTCCTGAAAGAGGCAGAAACAGGGGAACTACCAGCATTTTGGAGGCTATAGTGTACATATTTTCAGAGTTTATTGTGATTACAATGTGTTAACACACTGACCGATGTCACATCCAATGTCATGGGTTTTAATGTTTTAGATTCCAGCTGCAGCTATTCACACTTAAGATTTCTTATTTAATTGCTGTATATTATAAGGTCTTTTGGTACCCTTTTGGTCCTCAAACGCAATATGTTACTTCTAATGAATCATTTCAGATTTTTTATGATATATTTCTTTGCTTTTAACATTTCTATTTCCTGTTATTAGGCTAGCACATCTCATGCAGTGCCCAGCACCAGCACTGTCCAAATACCACAAAAGGGTGATGTTGGCTGCCAGACAGACTCTCCAATGCAGGCATAGACTGGCACACAGCTGTCATTTAAAACTTTGCAGCCTCACTTCCGAAGTACAGGTTTGTGGTCTGGGATATGATTTTGCTTCTATAAAATAAAAAATCTAATCTAACACATATTTTAATATTCATATAAGAAGCAAATATTCAGTTCACTTTTATTGCACACTGTGATTTCAATATCTGTTTCTGTGCGTAAAAGGTACACAGACAACAACAGTCAAGACAACCACAGATGTTGGAGTCGGCACGTCCACTGTTCCTGTGTTCCCTGACCTTCCTTGGTCCTCCACACCAACCAAGACATCACTGAAGAGGCCTCGCCTCGGTAGAGGAGGAAGATGAGGACAGCTCTGTGGAAGCCAGCTCATCTTTTGTGGCTCCAGAACCACAAGACTCCACATATAACCCGGAAGACTCAGTTACTGTGTTAACAGAGTCATTGGATAAGTCGTAAGTTATTCTGTTTTAGGTAAACTTAAATTGTATTTTTTAAAAGTTGAAATTTTGCTCAGCCATTCTCTGCATTTTTGAACTAGGCACACAACATTCACACAATTTTACTTTCAGAGCCTTATGTGACTGATGATGTTTTATTTTCTACTACATCATATTTAATTGGAGATATAAGCATTTGTTTGACAATTAATTATGGTTGAAAAATAAGTAATGATTCAGCGTAATTTAACATTAAAGTAAATTGGTTGCATCTCTATTTACACACTCAGCTCTCTCTATAATATGGTGTTCATCATAACATAGTAGACAATTGGCCATGGCAGAGGTATGGGCTCTCCAAGTGCCACTCTGGTCTTATTCATTGTACATGCTTGTGACTTTATTTACTCTCTCTCAACATAGGGAAGGCTCCAGCCCCAACCATCAAGAGCCCTTATCCATTCACAAAATGCGCAAGCTGCTTGTATTTGAATCTTGCCTCATGGAGCTCTTTAAGAAGTGTCCAGTGTGCAGCAGAGTTTGTGATGTCAAGAAGAACATCAGGGGAACATTCTTTGCCATTGTCCAGCGATGTCCACATTGTCAGTACTGGAGACAATGGAAGAGTCAGCCTGTGATTGGACACTCCACCCCAGCAGGGAATTTGCAACTTTCTGCTGCAATCTACTTAAGTGGTGCTTCGTTTTTCACTGTGCAAAAGGTACTTTCAAATATTTGTTTATGGTTAAATATGTTATTGCTGCTCCAATCCAGAAGTATGACATGGTATAAAACAAATGATTGATTCGCTACCTAAGGTGGAGTGGGTTAATTGCCAAGCCCAGCACAGCAGTCCAGTTGAATTAGATAGGATGAAGAAGCCTGCATACAATTTAGACTAAGGACAGGAAATTGATCTACAAATGCCATTTTCCAACAATATATATTGTGAATCAAGGTAACTCATACAATTTTATTTGTCTTTGCTATCAGGTTTTCAAGGCCATGCAGTTGCAGCTACACACTTACAAACAGTTCAGAATACACTGCTGCAACTTCATTGAGCCCGCTGTGCTGCATAAATGGAAGACGGATCAGGCAGCCATTTTGCAGCAGCTCAGCCAAGAGGGGAGTGCCATTCTCGGTGGTGATATGAGGGCTGACTCACCAGGTAATTTTCAAATCACAGATTTTCATGTTACATTTAAATGTTACCACATAAATGCCCACTTAGACAAAAATAATAGAAATTATCTTTTTGAGAATGTAACCTCTGAGTCAAGTCACAATTATTTAGAAAGTGCATTTAAAACAATGCAAGTTGACCAAAATGCTGCACATAACAAACAATAAAACACAATATATTGTTAGGTCTCAAACAATAGCAATAACAACAAAATTTGATTGTGAATTTCAATGTGATTTATGTTTTCAGGACACTGTGCAAAGTATGGCAGTTACACCATGATGAACTTGAACACCAACAAAGTCATCGACATTCAGCTAGTGCAGGTTAGTGACTACATCACAGCACTGTTACACCATGGAAATGTATTATATTATGTTGTATAAAAAATGTCAAAGGCTAAACAAAAAGTTTCAAACTGTAATTAAGATCCCAATTTTATTTTATTGACTTTCTTTCCTTGCTTCTTTCTGCTTTCCACATCACACATTGGCTCACATTTTCCCCTCTTACTTGTCTTCTATATCAGAGCAACGAGGTTGGCGGGAGTACCAACATGGAGAAGGAAGGTCTTAAAAGGAGCCTTAAACTCATGGAGAAAAGTGGTATCAACTTGGACTGTATTGTGTCTGATAGGCACCCCCAGATCCAGAAATTCCTTACTGATGCCAAAATCACCCAGTTCTATGATGTATGGCACTTTGAGAAAGGTAATATTTTCTAGTTATCATTCATTAATTCATAATTATTTAAATCATTATGACATCTATAAACAAACATTTTTGAGATTTATTCAGTCTGGCCATATTTTATGAATTTATTTTGTTTAGAATTTGATGGTGAAACATAGGATAGTGTATTGTGGGGGGGGTGTAATGCCCTAATTATTGTTTATGTATTCATAGGAATGGGCAAGAAACTGAAGGCAATCGCCAAAACCAAGGAGTGTGAAAAGGTCAAAAAATGGTTGCCCATGATCAAAAATCAGATCTACTGGATTGCAGCTTCATCTGCCTCTGGGCCAGAGCGAATTGCCAAGTGGACTTCGGTTATGAACCACCTCCAAGACATCCACATCCATGATGACCCCTTGTACCCAAAGTGTGATCATGCCCCACGTGTGTCAAAGGATAAGGAGAAATGGTTGAAAGCAGGTGTGTACTCAATCTGTACAATATATTTGCTTATTGACTTGTACATGTGAACCTAAGTAGACGTTTTTGTGAGTGTTATCAACTTAATTATCGATGACATGGTAAATAAGTTACTAGTAGCCTGGTAGTTCCATATGTATTTACTGACTTTTTCTAATTCTACTTTCAGGAACCACCGCTCTCTACAAATTGGAGAAGCTGTTCACTGGCAAGAGAGTCCTGAAGGATGTGGAGAAGCTTAGCCCCCATCACCAAACATCATCGCTCGAGGCTTATCACTCTGTAGTGATACGTTTTGTTCCCAAAAGTGTGGTGTTTCCGTTTTTGGGAATGCTGTGCAGGTAAATAAGATAAAAGTGTATCTCAATCTTGATGCAAAAATTTTAAATGCAAGTGTTAAAATTTTTCAAATCAAGGCTCAATAAACTAACAGAAGTGGCAGTAATTAAATCTGATTTACTTTCTTTTTCTCCCCAAAGACTTTACTTGTCAGCCATGCATTTTATAACGAGAACGCTGAGCGCCCATAGAAGCAGGCTGATGGGAAACCCGTCTTCAAGCTTCACTGGCCAAAGTCTAAAGAGGGAACATGCACAGTGAAGCCACTGAAGGAAGATCCAACATTCAGTAAGTTGACTTGTATAAATTTTTATTGCACACAAATAATTTAAACGTCACAAAATTTTAAATATAAATAAAAAATGGGGTGGATTTATTTTTTAAATAAAATCCTCATTTTTATACTTTTCCAGACCTGGAAATTGACAATCAAAAAATTCAAGACTGTTTATGAACCCAGACAAACTAAAATATAATAAAAAAAATGCAAGAGTGACAGCAGATTAAATTTTACAAGACATTTGTGTTATTGATATACTGACATTTCTTTGTTTGTCTACAGACTATGTGGATGAACTGATGGACCTGGGGTCCGTTTCACAAAGCAGGTTCAACAAACTCTGAGTCTAATCCTGAACTCTGAGTTGATCTACTCTGAGATAGGAAACTCTGAGTTTCCGGTTCCAGAACAGCTGATTTGAATCAGTTTAATCAACTCAGAGTAGTTTCACCTGGAGTTAAGCACGTGCACCACAACTATAAAAAGCCAGCATCAATGGAGCCCCGATTCGACGAGTCACCATGGCAACGGGGAAGAGGAGGGCTGCGTTTTTCACCCCATTAGAATTAAAAATCTTAATGCACTCATACGGCGAGTTTGCACACGTTTTCAAAAAGAAGTACAACACCGCTGCAGCTGCAAAAGAGAGGGAGATGGCATGGGAGAACATTGCTGCTCGGGTCATTGTGTAAGTTTAAATGTAGTCCTTTGCAATCACAATAATATTACAGGGGAAAACTGCTTGAATGGTAGCCTATTCATTTATTTAATTTAGGTGCAATCCCGCAGGGGAGAAGTGCACTTGGCAGCAGTTTAGGATGAAATATAAAAACATTGTTCAAACAGGTAAGACCTCGGCATAATCTCATGGGGGTACCTCATTCTGATCATGTTTTACATTGTAAAGTAAATATTAAGTGGCTGTTTGACTGTGCAGTTGTTTTATCCCCAACATAATGCTGTTTTCACGCACATAAATATCTTCTCATCTATATCATGTTCTGTTAAATAATTAAGCCTATTTAAACTAACATAGACTTCTACTCAGCCAACAGAAAGAAGGCAGATGCCCGTAAAACGAGCACACTTTTCTGACCGCCCTGCATACAGTAGCCTTACTCAAGTGCTCAGCATCTCCGACATTGTACAAAAACTTCCATTTGCAAAGAAACGTAGCGCAACACATAATATCTGCTGGGATGTGAGAGCATGACTACGATTGGTAATGTTGCAAATGTAAGGACGGATTAGGTTGTGTATGTAGATGATGGACTGTGACGTGAAACGGTACAGCTCAAAAAGATAATTGTGTGGAAATGCTAAAACATCTATGTGTGGTCTGACAACCATCTCCCGACGAATATTTAATTCTCTGCGCAGTAATGCTGCACCTTCATCCACAGGATCGTTATCAAAAGGACATGCCATGTTAGTGAAAAAAGTCGCCACCTACTGTGCCTAATGGACTTCTAATATACTGACTCTGATTTTTTAAAATGACAGACGGCAGAACTAGGCTACGCCAAAACTTGCCTGCTGACTGAATGAATGAGGAAATCAAATGGACTGTGTGGCTCTGAAAGAGGGCGGAGACGGAGAGAAACTCGAGGTTCATTGACAAAAACTTGGTCCCGACCAGGTTAGGTTCATAGTCTGTTACTACGGTAACTGCCCGAGAGCTTAAGTTACCTCTCTCTCTGAAACAGGCTAGAGTTACTCCTCTTTCTCTGGTTTGAGTTACCTCCCTTTTTGAAACGGAAAACTCAGAGTTTCCCTCATTTCAGGGTTAACAGACTCTGAGTTTTCACTAAACCTGCTTTGTGAAACGGACCCCTGGTGTTCGATGTGGTGTTTGTTGATCCGGCACCTTATGTCAGTCAGCTGAAGCAGATTCCAGTACCTGAACCGCTCTGCTCTCAGTATGACAGGCCAGAGAAGGACGACGTCGTTGCCCGCTACGTGTCTCGCTTTAATCGAGGGGCAACCTGAAGCCTACGTATTGGCCATGTACAGTAGGGAATTCTTGCCGGATCCGCAGCACCACACATGCCGGTATTACTACGCATATTCTATGGCCAAGATGACCCCAGCACCAGCTCACAAAGGACCTGTATGCAAGGTGCCTGTATTCACTGGAGAGAGAGTGCACAAAAATGCAATTAGATTTATTTATCTTGTTTGATTTAGAAATAGTAGATTTGCAGTGTTGTGCTTTTTTGTATTCTTAATAAAGACACTTTTGTATTGAAGCTTTGTTGTTTCCTTCACATTTTACATATGAAAGTAACAATGTAGAAACATTTAAATGGTACAGTATGTGGGATTATAGTGTGTATTCTGTAGCTACACCTCAGTTTTTTTCATGTGCATTTGTCCACCATATTTACATTAGGTATTGACTTTTCGCCTGTTATCTTATTAGCAATAACATGGCGACTACACCGGGCATTTGGCCAAAATAGTACATGGTATGGGACATAGCAACTTATATTCAAGCTATACTGTTACTGCATTATTACCTGGCATGATGCTATAAACTGCATGCTATGAAAACTGACTGCATGTTATGTAACACATTTACACATTTTCATAACTTCACTATGACCATGGATATAAAACTAAGTACATTTGCATTACTTTTTATGTTTTGACACAACACGTATAACTGGGACGCTACATGCCTCGTTAGCGAAAACCGGATTGAGGTACATATCTAACTTCTCATTCTCATCCAAAATGAAAATAACTTTACCATTCACAGACATCTTGTTGTACACGCGTTTCTTCCACCACCTCAGCATCGTCAGTCTCTGGTTCTGGTTCCGACTCCGGTTCAAACATAAAAGAGCGAATTCCATAAACAGCTGCCTGGTCAGGTTGTTCGTTTGGTGCGTGCGCCATGACGAAGGGATTGTTGTTGTTTTGGAGTCGGCCAACTCGTGGATGTATTGGGCCAGCCCCCATCCCGGCCCTGTCCTTCCTGCAGCCAATCAGCGCGCGCATCCTTATCATTAATCCAATGAGCATCCGGACCAGTCAAAATCTCGCATCTACTCTCGCGAGAGAAAGTCGTAGTATGGCGGGGGGCAAAACAAGCTCAATGTTTGATTTTTTTTTTTTTTTGCAAATTAATTTTAAATTTTTTTTAGGACAATTAAAGAGAGACAGGATATGTTAAAACACCAGGTGATGACTCCTTTAAGACAGACACAAACCCTATTCTGATTAAAATTTAAATATCAAAGATGACAGAATTCTCCTCCTCCTCTTTCCTCAGTTTTCGCCTCTGTGCACCTGATGGTTTGTGCTGTTTGGTATATGGTTGGTAAAAAACTATCAATTAAAAAAAATAAAAATAAATAAAAAAATTGACCTCTATAATTGCTTGATGGCAAACAGCCTCCTGAGTTGCAACATTGCAATGTCAACGTTAACCTGTTTTCTTTATTGTTGTCATTTATGTAGCCTAGCAGTAATTACACAGAGCCAGCAATGTAATGAAAGAGAGAGAAATGCTAATAAAAAAATCAATGGAAAAAAAGGACAAGTAGCACATAAATAAAATAATTATAACAAATATAAGTTGTTTTTATTTAAATCATTTATCTCGTCTCAGTCACACGCACGCGCGTGCGTCATGAAATGTCATAGAAACAGAACGATGAGCCCGCGAGGTCGGGTATATAAGGCCTTCACATCAGTCTGATCGCTCACTTTGCACTTGGATTTAGACTAGAGCCAACCTGTGGAAAGTTATCTCTTGAGTTTTGAAGCAGAAAGCAGATCTTGTTCGAGAAAAGTTTGTTAAAACTTTTGGATTGTTCGAGAAAAGTTTGTTAAAACTTTTGGACTGTTCGAGAAAAGTTTGTTAAAACTTTTGGATTTCTACATTTTGTGGGAAACCGAAGAACCCGACGATGGCCGCCAGAAGACCCCGGACCCTGGAGGAGCTCCTGTGTGGACTGGACATCAGCTGCGCAGGTAAGACAACTTTCACATTTATTTTAGCATTTTACTTGTTGATTGTTGACCTCTTAAACTGTTAAAAGCCGTATCAATGTAGAGATCCGCATAATTAATGGTGTTATGGTATAATCCTATGAGCCTAATTAATTTTTGAACGTGAAGGTGGACAGTTCACACCATGTTATTAATGTTAGGCCCGTTGGAAAACTCCAGATTTGGTGAAAACGGACACTAACTTAATTCACGATTTCTCGTGTAAATTAGTCTTTGGGCAGAATATGTTAAATATACCGGAACATGTGTGAAATATATTAACATATAAGTGATTTGAAATCACTTTTATGTTTTTCACATGTTTGAGGGGTCACATCTTCCAAATGTGACAATCTGTGACTGAATTTAACGAAAAACAAAGATGGCGACTGGGCCGAATTTCAAATAGGCTAATATTACAAATGTTATTAAGTTGTCACCATGGAGACGATGGGGCTGTTAGCAGCGGCCGTTAGGATCATATTAAATAAACTTATTCTCAACATTTAAAACTGAAAAGCGCTCCGCTCGACCGATGTATTTAACTGTATGTTACTGACTGCATGTGCGCATCCTGTGTCCAGGCTGATATTATCTGCTAGATGTCTACCAGTTCAGTCTGCGCCGAACTCACTGTGGTATCTTTGGACTCATTTAGCCATGATGCACTGAGTAATGCGTAATGTAATGTAATGTAACATACATTTCTGCAGTTAATTGATTCACGATTTCTCCTGTAAATTATTCTTTTGACAGAATCTGTTTAATATATGTCGGAACATGTGTGAAATATATGTATAATTAATGCAGTGATTTGAAAACACCTTTATATTTTTCACATGTTTGAGGGGTCACATCTTCCAAATGTGACAATCTGTGACTGAATTTAACGAAAAACAAAGATGGCGACTGGGCCGAATTTCAAATAATATTACAAATGTTATTAAGTTGTCACCATGGAGACGATGGGACTGTTAGCAGCGGCCGTCAAAAGCGCTCCGCTCGACCGTTGTATTTAACTGTATGTTACTGACTGCATGTGCGCGTCCTGTGTCCAGGCTGATATTATCTGCTGGATGCTAGACTCACTGTGGTATCTTTGGATTCATTTAGCCATAATGCACTGCGTAATGTGTAATGTAATGCAGTGCATACATTTCTGCAGTTTATTGCGATTCACGATTTCTCCTGTAAATTTTTCTTTGGACAGAATCTGTTTAATATATGCCGGAACATGTGTGGAATATATGTATAGCTATGCAGTGATTTGAAAACACCTTTATGTTTTTCACATGTTTGAGGGGTCACATCCTCCATTAAAGCCTGCCTTTTGTATCTGGAGTTCATGCACAAACATCTGGTCCTTTTAA